TACAGTAATCTTTTGTCCCATTTGCCAGCATTTGCCCCATATCCCTTTAAATCCTTTCTAGTCATATACACATCCAGATACCTTTTCAACGTTGTAATCATCCCAGCCTCCATCACTTCCTCTGGCAGCTCATTCCATACACGCACCACCTTCTGCATGACAAAGTTGCCCCTTAGGTCCTTTTTATATCTTTCCCCTCTCACCTTAAACCTATGCCCTCTAGTTTTGGACACCCCACCCCAGGGAAAAGACCTTGCCTATTTACCCTATCCATGCCCCTCATGATTTTATAAACCTTAATAAAGTCACCCCTCAGCCTCCAACAATCCAGGGAAAATAGCCCCAGCCTGTTCAGCCTCTCCCTATAGCTTAACCCTCCAACCTTGGCAACATCCTTGTAAATCTTTTCTGAACCTATAGCAGGGAGACCAGAACTGTATACAATACTCCAAAAGTAGCCAAATCAATGTCCTGTAATGCTGCAACATGACCTCCCAACTCCTATACTCAATACTATACCCAACAAGGCAAGCATACCAAACACCTTCTTCACTATCCTATCTAGCTGCAAATCCACTTTCAAGGAACAATAAACCTGCACTCCAAGGTCTCTTTGTTCAGCAACACTCCCCAGGACCTTACCATTAAGTGTATAAGTCCTGCCCTGATTTGCCTTTGCAAAATGTAGCACCTCACATTTATCTAAATTAAATTCCATCTGCCAGCCCTCGGCCCATTGGCCCATCTGATCAAGATCCCATGGCACTATTTGAGGAACAGCAGGAAAGTTTTCCAAATATCTTTACCGACGTTTGTCCCACAGTGAAGACTTCAAAATATAGGTAGGTAATTTCTGCCTAACTTTGTGATCTTATTGTGCAAATCAGCTGTCATTTTACAACATAGCAACAGCAGATAAACCTTAAACATAATTTTTTGGCTGTTGAAGTGTCTCAAAAGACAGTGTATAAATGCAATTATTTTCTTTCCTTTAGAAGACTGAGGTGGGAGGGGAAAATCTAAGATGAAAGTGACTAATATTCTTTGCACAAATCAATGTACACTGGTACTTTCTTGGTCAAAGAAAACCATTGCAGTCACCAAACTAATTTAAAATGGAAAGCTTGAAAATATCTTTGAATAATTCATATTGGCTGCCATTGTTCAAAATGAGGTTTGCAGCATGAAATTATATTGCTTCATATCAATTTATTTATGTTTGTGAATATATACTTTGAGTTGGCCAATGACTATCTGTCACAATGTAGACTATAACCTGGTGTCGTGTGATTTCTGACTTTATCTGTCACAAGAAGGCTATTTTACTCAAATGCTGTCTCACCAGACTGCTGCTTAAATAATGTATGCTCATGTAGACAGCCTGAAATACACAGGATGCAATTTGAAACACTGCCTGAAAAAAATCTATATGCCATTAAAAAAATTCTTACTTCATCAACATGAATCAGAATTATGCTGCTGCGTTGCGTAGTGTAACTTACTGCAGCTAAAGTCGAAGGAAAGAGATAACTCAAACTGTGTTACCACAGAGATTCAGTTCTGCTGTAAATATGATAACAAGGTTTAAGATTGCATTGCACTGTTATGAGAAATGATCTTTTGCAGTTACTGTTATAAATAATGTACATTTCTTTTTGAATGTTTTGTAAAAGAAGTTCTGGATTTGGTGACTGATTACTTCAATGCACATGATAGAAATAGCAATGGAGAAGACTTGATCACAGAAGTTTCACGGATAAATGTTTGCATTGTCATTCAATTTGACAAGCCAAGACACTCAGGTATTGCTTGTGATTGTTATTCGAGCTAAAAGAAGGAAGGTCAGACTTAACAGTCTAAGACTACCTCTGCAAAGCCCACAAGTTTTGAGCTTTTATACACTTCTGGTCATGTACCAACTTCTTAATCTAATCAATTTATGTTGACCAGATGTCCTGGCGTTAGTTTACTCACTTCCCAAAGGACATACATACGTCTGGCCTTCCTTATCCTTGATGTTTGTGTGGCCTATCAGTCCCTAATTCCCTTTCACTCACCACCTGCATTCCTGGTCTTGCCCTTTTGCATTCCCATCCTTACGCTGTTTCAGTACAGCTGTGATCCTTCATTTCTGGCCAGATTTATACTTTACTGCAAACACTTTATAACCCTTTTTCAACCTTCATTTGGTAAAATATTCACTGACTGTACAGAATTTGTAGGATACTGAACGACGTAGGCTAATATAGGAAATCTGGGAGAATCAGGTGAGAAGTTGGATGAGTCTTTTCTTGACCCCAGGAGCAATTCATTGCATTTTTGGTCATCAAGACAAGATTAATGGAGATTATTGCTTGTTTTCAGTCTCGTTATTTGTCAATTTTACCTTAATAATATGCAGCTTCCTATCTCACCACCTGCCCTGAGAAAACTTGATAATTCCCAAAATGAAAGTTAAAATGGGTACTTTACAACTTTAGCTCCCTGCTTGCTGCCGTAGACTGCCATCTCGGACACCCGGCACTAACGTCTCAGAGCACACTCCACGGACAGCAACCACATGCAACCCCACATCCATTGACACTGGCATCTGACATGTGCCATCTTCCCTACATCACCATGGCACATTTCCAATCAACTTACAGATGTTTCAGCTTTGTCATGCTAGACCTCAGGGTGCACCATCACTGCAGTGCTGCTGGAAGGACACTTTACATAGAAGGTCAGATATCTAGCTCAGTTCAGACTGCATCTCAGGGCTGTGTGCTTGCTCTCTGACCTCTCAATCATTTTCGCCCTACTTGGATGCTTACAGTATCCCTACATAATTGCAGTGTGCCCCCTCAGCCAGAGATACCAGGCTAACAGTATAGAGACAGAGTCATACAGCATAGAAATAGGCCCTTCGGCACACCATATCCACCCCCAGCAATAAACATCAAATTACTCTAATCCCATTTACCTGCACTTGGTCTATAGTTCAGTAGTTCTGTACTGTCCTATCATTTAGCAGACACAAAGCCAGGAAGCTTGTCATCACTGTCAGTGGTCCTCAATCAAGGGAGACACCATTCAGACAGGGAGTCTCAGCACAGTAAGTCAAGGGCAGCCTCCAATACCAGGTCAGGGCTTGGATATCATCAGTTAGCTGATCAGGGCTGTCAGGGTCAGGATCCTCTCCTTGTAAGAGCTGAGGAATGGAATGTTGAGCAGCTCACAACCTGACATGGTTTTTCTTCCATACTGTGGGATATTTTCCACTGGAATGACAAAAAGGGGGGTATGGAGGGAGATCAAAGTGAGTGGCACAGCCCTTAGTGCTGCATGGTTAGTAGTGTGGGAGAATTGGGTGCATGCAAGCGAATGAGGGAGAATGCCAATGCTTTAGTGGGAGTGGTCATGCATGAGCCTCATGGGACCATGGTTCAGTAGCAGAGATACAGTAAGTGTGAGGAAGGAGAGGGAAGATGGTGACCCATACCCTAGCAGAGTGGAGAAGGTCATTGACCTTCTTCTTAGCACTAGGCATTCTGAGGATAGTTGAAACTGCACTGGCCCAGGTGGCAACCTCAGACCATACTGCCATGGTCTGGTGTTAGGCCCTCTTCTGGCTGACCTGGGAGAAGAGAAGAGGAAGTCCAGTCTCTGCACCACCCAGTACACCAGAATTTCCAGGTACCTGTTCTCAATGCAGCGTGCTAAATTCCATTTAACTGCCATGTCAGAGTCTGGGTGGTGACCTTATAGACATTTATAAAATCATGAGGGGCACAGATAGGGTGAATAGCCAAGGTCTTTTCCCAAGGTATGGAAGTCCGAAACTGGAGGGCATAGGTCCAAGGTGAGAAGGGAAAGATATACAAGGAACCTAAGGGGCGATTTTTTCATACAGAGGGTGGTGCGTGTATGGAATGAGCTACCAGAGAACATGGTGGAGGCTGGTACAATTATAACATTTAAAAGGCATCTAAATGGTACATGAATAGGAAGACTGTAGAGGGATATAGGCCAAATGCTGGCAAATGAGACTAGATTAATTTACGATATCTAGTCAGCATGGACAATTTGGACCAGTCTCTGTTTCTGCTGCCCAACTCTATGACTCTACGTTCAGAACTGAAGAGAGGGATATGAGAAGGAACGAGTGGAACACATGGTGCAGTGCCCAGAACAAAAGACAAAATAAGTGATAATGGTGGCAACGAATAGATTTAGATATAAAATGATAGATGTGAAAAGGAGAAAATGGGTCTGCTGTCTGCTGAAAGCAAAGCCAACCAGGCACAGACAAGACAGGGTGTGTCATCAAAATGCAGGACAGAGGTCATGCCATGAAGTTAGTGAACTCAATGTTGAGTTCTGAAGCGTATAAAGTGTTAAAGCGGAAAAGGGGGGGTGTTGTTCCTCCAGTTTGCATTGGTCTTCATTGGAACAGTAGAGGAGGATTATGATGGAGGAGTGGACCAGGATGAATTCCCGCATCTCCAGCAAGATATCATCACCAAACAAATAAAATCGAAAGAACTGCGGATGCTGTAAATCAGAAACAAAAACAGAAGTTGCAGGAAAAGCTCAGCAGGCCTGGCAACATCTGTGAAGAAAAAAAGTCAGAGTTAACGTTTCGGGTCCGGTGACCCTTCCTCAGAATTGAACCTCCGCTTTTCATAACGACCGTTGTTGCTGGAAATTTAGTGCTCATTGATACCGGATTCAAATACAGACAGCACCCAACCAATACAGTCAGTGTTACTGTCCTGGGAAGACAGTGTGGATTGCAAGGGTTTGATAACTCTCAGCGTTAGAGGGCGACACAGCATCTCTACACAACTCTCTTTTGATTATGTTGGACGAAAGCTGTCGAAGAAGTCCGGAAAGACCCGAAGATGGGGCTCCCCTCCGGGAAGCGCCGGATCAAGCGGGCTCTGTTCCGGGAAGAACCGAAGAGGACCAGCTCCCCTCCGGAGAGTGCCGAAGAAGACAGGCACCGCTCCGGAGAGACCCGAATCAGGCGGGCTCCGCTCCGGGAAGAGCCGAAGAAGGCGTAGGCGTCCGGCGGAGCCTGTGAGAGGAGAGGCGACGCGGGCGCTTGGGGTTTCGGTCGTGACGGTGTTGTGCAGGTGCCGGCCGGTAGGCCGGGTAGGGAAGATGGCGATATCGCGGGGGCTGTGGTGCTGTCAGCGCATATTGGCCTGGATTCCGGTGCTTATCATCACCTTGGTCGTGCTATGGTCTTACTACGCCTATGTGTTCGAGCTGTGTGTGTGTAAGTGGCTCTTTGTTGTGGAATTGATGTTGACAGGAGTAGGAAGTTATTGGGCACATCCACTCAGGGATAAAAGTCTGTTAACATCAAGGTTCAGATCACATCAGGCTGAGTATTTTGACCTCTTACAATCTGTCAGGACATCAGGATCTCGAAATGCAAGAAGTCACTGCTCAGCTTCTGTTATGTGTGTGTTTAAATGTAATATTTAAATAAGATTCTTTAGGCACTGTGCTATTGTCAGTCCCATTTATGCTTTCATTTAATTTACACTAAAATCTGAAGTTAGTCTTTTAGAAGCTCACCTATTAAAGTTTGTGCGTAACAGCGTTAAGATTCTTGTCAGATTATGCTAGGTTATATTGAAAGATACATATGAGTATGTTACAGATTTACTCCAAGTTTCCATTTGCCTCCGCTTTGTTTCCCCCTTTATGGCTTTAAAGCAAGCAGGTTGATTTTTAACTAACGTAAATAGTTTTATTACAGTTAGTTTTCTGTCAGTGCTATGGTTGAATAAGCTGATAATGTCAGTTACGTGTCCTGTTTGTAGATTGAGATGAGTGTAACCAGGTCTGTGGTGAATATTTTTCCAACATAAGCAGCATTCTGAAATAGCTGTAGTGTTGCTGTTTCACTCGAGTAATTTCTTAGCTCTGATGGTGATACATTTTTAGAATCAGTGTCTAGTGTCAAGTCACTCTTGAATGAAGAACTGCTTTTTGATTCTGTCCTGAATTTTCTTTTTACTAGTTTGTACTAAGTTCCTTTGTCTGACCGTCCTTTTTTTTAAACTTTAAGTAGTGCTCTGGATTTATGTTTTCTATTCCTCATCTCTGCAATGTTTTCTCAAATTCATCTGTAGTTCCACGAATGAATCCTATAGATCTGCTCTGCGGTTTGATGTTTCTCTGTTGTATAGATGTCTAGAACTGAATACTCTGATTAGGTTGAATCATGACCGGGGAACAGCATAGTTTTAACAGAACAGCTTCTGTCCACTTCTGATTTGATGGATTATGTTTACAGTGTTGTTTGCTACTCCTCAATGTCTGGAAATGGTTAATGTTAAGTCTGTTGTACTTCCGTATTTCTTTTGACATCTAGCTAATTGGACACCATTTTTCAAAGACAAAAATAGAAATTGCTGGAAAAGCTCAGCAGGTCTGGCAGCATCTGTGGACAGAAATCAGAGTTAACATTTCAGGTTGAGTTACCCTTCCTCAGAACTGACGGTAGCTGAGAAAATGTTGGTTTATGCGCATAAGATGTGTGGAGGAAGGGGGTAAGGTATAAACGATACATGGGGATACGGCCCAAAGAGAGAGAAGAGTGTTTGGACAGACAAAGGAGTGGATAACGATCTGGCTAAAAGAGTAATAACTATTAATGGGGACTGTGAGTGACTAACAATGGGTGGTGTGTAATAGTAGACTATGTGATGACAAGGCCTGAATTGTGGAGTTTGGGGTGAGGACGTAGGAGAGCGCAAGCCTTAAAGTTATTGAACTCGATATTGATTCTGGAAGGCTGCAGGGTCCCCAAGCACCTCATAACCTGCAATGATTCTCTTCCTATTCCCACATCATTACCTCTGGTGCCCCCCCCCAATACTATATTGTTAGCATCTCCAGTTTCTCATTCTATGTAAAAACCAAAAGAACTGCGGATGTTGTAAATCAGGAACAAAAACAGAAGTTGCTGGAAAAGCTCAGCAGGTCTGGCAGCATCTGTAAAGAAAAAATCAGAGTTAATGTTTCGGGTCCAGTGACCAGTTAACTCTGATTCTTTTTCTTCACAGATGCTGCCAGATCTGCTGAGCTTTTCCAGCAGCTTCTGTATTTTTGTTTCTTGTTCTATGTGCTGTTTCTATAGAGAAAAGAAAACATCAGGTTCCGTATGTACGCTGATGATACCCGGACTTGCGTGAACGTCACCTCTACCAACCCCTCCACTGACTAAGACTTTAGAAGAGCATTACATATTTATCTGAAGAGAAAGAAGTAGAGGCATGAAACTGAATAAGTTGCTATTATACAGAGCCATCATGAACATTTGGGATGAATGTCACCATACGCTGTAATATTTCCATCATTCTATGACAAATCAAGGTTTGTCCAATGACTAGCATTTGATCAGCAGAAGTTTATTTGAGCTAAATACTTGGATGTCTGTTGCTGTCGTCATTGATCATCAACACAAACCCTACTCTGCCGACATTGACTTCATCCCTCCTCCATAGTAAGTGTCTGAGGCCAGAGCGGACTGTACACAACCCTGATATCACATTTTACCCTGAGATGAGCTTCCAGCCACACATCCACTGTGTTACCAAGACTGCCCATTTCTATTTCTGTAGCATCCCTTGGCACCACTGCTGTTTCAACTCCCTGGCAAATAGGACTATGTCAGATTGGGGTGTCTGGTCAGCGTGGACAAATTGAACCAAAGTGTCTGTTACTGTGCTGTATCACTCTACGACTATGACTATGACTATGACTATGACTCTATAACTGCTGCTGAAATATAGAAATTATGAATTCAGACCTTCAAATTGGCTCAGCCTTTTGACATGATCATGCCTGATCTTATCAACTCTCCTGTCTGCTCCCCATAGTCCTTTGTCCTGCTTTTCAACAGAAACATATCTTTCTTGAATCTGTTGATTGATTCTGCCTCTCCTGCACTCTGGGGCAGTGAGTTCCACAGATTCACAACCCTCTGAGAGTAATAGTTTCTCCACATCTCAGTTTTGAACCTACCTTCTCTTTACATGTATAACCTTTTGTTGGACACCATCCCACAAAGGGGATCATCAGTTCAACATCCACCTTATCAATCCCCTTTAGCATTTAATATATCTCAACCAGATTCCCCCCTCATTCTTCTGAACTCCAGCGAGTACAAGCCCAAGCTATTCAGCCACTCCTTGTACACCAGCCCTTTCATCCCTGGAATCAATCTGGTGAGCCTCCCCTGAACTGTCTTCAGTGCTACCACATCCTTCCTCAAGGAAGGAGACCAAAACTGGACACAATACTCCAGGTGTGATCTCACCAATGTCCTGTACAATTGTAGCAACAGTTTTTTTACTTCTTTAATCGAGTCCTTTTGCAATAAATGCCAGGATTCCATTTGCCTTTCTTATTATACGCTGCACCTGCATACCTGCTTTCTGTGATTCGTGTACAAAGGCACCCAGATCCCTCTGCACTGATGCACTTAACTGTAGACAGTTATTCTCATGCTGACCTAGCAAGTCTCCCATCTTTCACCTGACATAAAGTTGAGTATGTCCAAAACTCTGGTTGTATCCTAACTATCACCAAGTCCTGTTGATTCATTGTCCCTTGCTCACTGACCTACATTATCTTCCAGACTGGCAGTGTCTTAATTTTAAAATTCTCATCTTAGTTTTGAAATTCTTTCATGGTTTCACCAGCTCCCCACTTGCCTCCCTACCTCCACCCTCCCTACCCAATCTCTGAAAAGCTCTCTGAACTACAGCCCTCAGATCACTGCATTGCATTGACTTTTGTATGTCCCCAATTTTAATTGCTGCACTGTTCCTTCAGGTACCTAGCCCCTAAGCTCTAGTATTCCATGTCTTTTGAATAGAAAAGACCTGTTCAAGAAGAATGGGTCTAACCTAAACTGGAAAGTGACCAATATCTTAGTAGGGAAATTTGCTCATTCAATTAAAGGACAATTTATTCTGATAGAGACGGGGAATGGAAGAATTCTAAGTAGCAGTCTAAACAGAAGGATTGATGGGGAAAGTTCTGAATGTGAGGATAGAACATCAATTAGAAAAGAAAGACAAGAGAGAGTCAGAGTAGGTAGTAACTGAAGAACTAAATTGCATTTATTTCAATGCAAGGGGCTCACAGGTAAGGCTGATGAACTCAGGGCATGTTTAAGAATATGGGATTGGAATGTCATAGCTATTGCAGAAGCTTGGCTGAAAGATGGACAAGACTGGTAGCTGAATGTTCTGGGTTTTAGATGCTACAGGAAGGATAGAAAAGGAGGCAAGAAAGGAGGGGGGTTTTGATTACGGAATATATTACTGCTATAACTAGGAAAGATATTTCTGAAAACTCATTCAGTGAAAATATATGGGTAGAAATTACAAATAAAAAAGGAAATTACAAATAAGAAAGGGATTTTACTACAGGGCCCCTAATAGTAAGAGGGAAATTGAGAAACAAACATGTAGGGAGATCTGCAATATATGTAAGCATAATAATGTTGTAATATAAGGGAATTTTAATCTTTCAAACATTGACTACCATAGTGTTAAAGGTTTGGAGGTGAAGAATTTGTCAAATGTGATCAAGAAAATTTTCTTTATCAATATGTGGATGCTCGAACTAGAGAAGGAACAAAACCAGACATTTTGGGCAATAAGGCAGGGAAGGTAACTGAAATAAAAGTGGGGAAACACTTTGGGTCTAGCGATCATAATTCTATTAGTTTCAAAATGGTTATGCAAAAGGATAAGCCTTCCATGAAAGTGAAAGTTTTTAATTGGAGTAAGGCAAATTTTAATGGTACGAGACAAGAACGTTCAAAAGTTGATTGGAGTAGACTGTTTGCAGGTAAAAAGACATCTGACAAGTGTGATGCATTCAAGAGTGTGATGACGACAGTTCAGAGATATTTTGTTCCTGTTAGAGTGAGGGGTGAACTGGTAAGATTAAGGAACAATAGATGAATAAAAATATTGAAGTTCTAGTCAAGAATAAAAGAGAATCTTATTTTAGGTACAGACAACTTGGTTCAATTGAATACCTTAATCAATGTGATGAGTGTAGGGGCATTCTTAAGAGAGAAATCAGGAAGGCAAAAAGGGGATATGAGATAGCATTGGCAGATAAGGTTAAGGATAATCCAAAGAGATTTTACAAATACCTTAAGAGCAAGAGAGTAACTAGAGAGAGGGCAGGGCCTCTTAAAGATCGAGGAGGTTGTCTTTGTGATGAACCTCAGGAGATGGG